AAGTAATAATGCGAGCTTATATAGCATTTCCGTTTTATTGAAGACAGGGAACGTTTGAGGTTAGAATGGCCCTCCTAATCGGCATCGGATGACCAATCTCAGAAGAAATTTGGGAATTCCCGTAGGAAGCTGCGCAAAATCCCGAGAAATTTCCACGAGGGCGGTGAAGTCCGGATGGGGAAATCGATTCTTCCGGAATTACGAGACAAAATTGGAGGGACCGTTTCTCCCGTCGGAATTCATTAAGAAAAAAGCGTTGCAACTCTCTCGTCGAAACACGAGCGGCACGCATGCGGCGTGCAATTAGCTTATTAATATTTCATAATCCGCGCGTACTCGTTGCGCGTTCCGAGCATTAACGTAAAGTTAGACACAGCGGCAGATTACTGACTCGGCGTGGCGTTCCCGCTCTTGTTCGAGCTTGTCCGATAAATAATAAATCGATAGCGCGCGCGCGCGCGCGCGGGGTTAGAACATCCTGATGACCCAGTTGCATTGTGTGTTCCGCCGGTTACTACGGACGGCCATCTCGTACGCTCGGAATGAGACGCTTACTTAGTCACGTTTGCACGGTGGCTGAAAAGCCACCGCGCGACGTTGCTCGACATTTCGAGACGAGAGATAGGCAGCTCGCCCCGAAGAACTCGAGCGGCCGAGTACGCAACTTTCCCTCGGCCGAGAAGACCAAGGAAAGGCTGTCTCGCGTGATCAATCGTGTCCGCGACCTCACGGTCGCGCTCGCTGCACGAAATTTGAGCGCGCTCGGCTCGGAAATTTAGCGTGATTGCCGCCGCGTGTCGTTATCCTGCCGACACAACAACGTGCCTTCTCGTCGAGAGGAGAAATCCGTCGGCTGCGCTTTTGACAGCGAAGTCGCGCTTCGCTGACTTCCGGCAAGCGGGAAACAACAAGGGTAAAATCGCCGACGGAATTGTTCGGCTGCTAGCCGAAGAATATATCCTTTAAGGCGAGCTTCCATGAAGCCTTAACATTCAATGAGATAAAAATTGTTATTTTCTTGTAAGTTCATTAAAATGACTCTTCACGATGCGTTGTATATATGTTTGCGCTTGAACAATTTTAATCCTTGAAAACTACTATCAAATATACCCCCAAGCCAACTTGTTATTGTTTGTAGCAAACAGTGTATGCGAGAATTGATTTGTCTTATCATAATGTTGTCACTACTGAGAGTGTGAGTAAATATCTGTAAAATTAATATTGTCAGTACGTAGTTACGTTCTTTTAATAAGACCAAAAATTTGCACGGGGTGAAATTTCACTCCATAGTAGGTAGGTTTTGAGGGTTAAATTTATTTTCTCGCACGGACTTTTACTAGCTAGTTTCGCCGAATTTTTATTCGATTGCTTATTAAAGGAGCCCAATCGTAATTTCGGAAGAGTCCTTAACATTTATCAAGTTCGTTATTTTGAGAAAATAAATATCTAAAAAGTAAGAAAAAATATGTACAGTAATAATTGATAAACTAATAACATTTATTTACTTAAATTTAGATTTTTTTATTTGAATAGAGAAAAATAAATGAAATAAAGAAAGTTAAAAAAAATTAAATTAAATTAAATTATTATTAAATTTAGCATTTTAGCATCTCCGCGCGCGCCGAATAAATATTTTTTATTTTCTAGATACTTGTAGATGGAAGACATTTAGATATTTCTTTGTTTTCTAGATATTTTTCATTATAGGGTTTTGATCTGAAGAGAATACGATGCAGTACAATATGACATGTCAAACTGCCAAAGTGTTAAATTAGTGGAGCAATCGAGTCGTAATACGAGACGAATTCTCAAACGTAATGTAAAGGATAAGAAAGACTACACGGGTTCTCGTTAAAATGAATGTCGTGGCTTTCTTGAAGCTTAGCGCGCGTAAGGTATACACAATCGTCAAACACCACGACCGTCCTCAGAGAAGACAATGCGTAGAGGCGCGAAACATTTTCGCAATTCACTCGTGATCTCGAAATAGAAGAAAGCCCGTTGCGGCGGAAAGACGGCGTTGCAACGTCGGGAACGAAGGTGTATTCTTATCGCGAGCGATGTAGGAATTCGCAAACACCTCGAGATGATACATGCGACATTAATCGCTCATCGATCGATTGACCTTTTGAGCGGTTGACGAACGGAATTCGCAGCCGGGTGTGAAAAGTCGTGAGATTTGTATGACCGGAAATCGAAGAAACGTCAATAGACCTTTCTCTCCCAGAAATAGTCTCTTGAATTTCTTCGAGCGAAATCTCTCGCTCGGGACTCGAATAAGAATTAACGCGAGGCGACGAGGAAAAGCCCGGAATCGTTGGGACGAATATTTCACTCAAGCTCAGGCCGGATGTTGATTCATAAAAATGAATGATACTCCCATCGGGGCCGGAATGAATTTATCTCCACGGTGATACCAGATTCTTTCTTCAACGTCGAGCAAAAGTATTCATGCAGAATTCGCTGTGTGCGAGTGGAAAGTTGTCGAATTTCATCGACTCGGGTGTCGTTCTGGTCTCTCTTAACGCGATCTCGCTCTTGAAAATTTAGAGATCTTGCTTCCCAAATTCCAAACTCAATTCGCTCCTGGGGATTGTTACTTCGAATCTCTCGGTGAGTGAAATCTCACTGAAAGCTCGAGTGAAAATTCGCTCGGAGCGACGGGAAAGACCGCGCTGCTCGAAGTCGCAGGAACGAATGTTCCGCTGATACTTAATTCACTCCGTATAGACGGAAAGTTACTCGAATTCGAGTGACTCGGCTGATTCGCTGCTCCTCGAGTGAGAAATTTCACTCGAAGAAATTTAGAGAGCGCGAGATTACATTGCGTAAAGGTACGTTTCCACGAGCGATCTTCCGAGAGAGATTACGAAAACATCGCCTGCCGTTCGCGCCTGCATCGTGGAAAAAGGAAAAACGTCGCGACAAAAGATGCGGTCGAGCTCACCTCCAAACGGCAGCTGAACAGCATCGGCGATAAACTCTCGACGATGACTGCGAGACGATTATTTATCGGAGTAGCATAAATTAACGAGCGCTGAGAGCGCTTGGACTTTCCCTTCACGCGTTTGCCGGCGTGTCGGCCGTAAGATATCGCCGTAATTAAATGCGTCCAACAGAAGTCGCCTCGTTATCTTGCTTATCCGTCGGCGGTGTATATCCCAAATTCAACGTGCTTCATTAGTCACCCGTGCACCCCCCTGCGAGAAACGTTAGCCGGCCGGAACGGCGGTTATGTCATGACAAGCGCTTAATCGGCTGCACGTAAAAACAATGTCCATGCGGCCCGCTGGTGTTCGGGGGAGCTCTGCTCTGAAAGCATTTGTAATAAACAGGCGGACACGGCTGGAACATCCAGAAAGAAAGTGATTTTCTAACAAGTCGAGTCATCTACATCAGAGTTTCCCAATCTTTTTTTTCTTGTATTTCGCACCCCTAAAAATTTATTAACAAACCTTCGCACCCCCTACTAAAAGAAAATGATTCGTATGTTTCATGGTAAAAATCAGTAGTTAGGGTTTTAGGGTAAGAAGTTAATTTATAATACATTTTATTATTACATAGTATTGTTTTATAGAAATTAACTATCATTTTAATATTATAAAATTATTATCCATGGTATCAAGCTTCGCACAGCGATGATGAACGATGATGACGTGATGAATATATACGTACAGATACGTAAAAAATATATAATTTTAATAACACTTTTGTTTAATTTGATGGTAAAAACGCCGGATTATTCCAGAATTCATCTTAATCATTGTTAATTACAATCACTTTTTCTCGCATCCCCAGGGGGTGCGAGCACACCCGGTTGGGAACCCCTGATCTACATTTTAGAGGATTTTATTCTTATATATGGCCTCAAAAGGATTCCTCTAGGCTTAAGGGGAAAATATTATAAACACAATATTCTTAAAGTTAAGGGGATTATACGTTACATATATAAGGCAAATCTTATTGGTTCTAATATAAATTTCCTCCTATACACAGATTGCTTAATCTTTTTTTAAGAGGATTATTATTTATTCTCACTGTATTTTATTCTTACTGATTGTACTAGTTAATTTGAAAAAAATATTATAATGTATAGCCAAAAATAATATATATGTATAGATGTACTTTTGATTCCAGTTCTACAACAAGTGAGCACGAATGAAATAATATCATCATAAAAAATAAATTTCCAGTCAGTTTTGTTATGAACTTCATAGCTACAAAGATGTTCATCATAACCGATTGTATGAAACATGGTTAAAAGAAAGAATATATTATTTAACTTCTTACGATAGATTGTAAACTGTATTCGACCAAATATGGATAAATTATCCTCGTTATATGTTAAAGCAACACACATACCTTTTTCGAAAAGCATTCCAAATATTTTGACCCATGAGCACCATGGATATTTTTTCGTTCATGTCTGGAGGTAGAGCATGACTGAGCAAAAGGAGTCGACCTTCAAATTAACATATACCTCTTTAAATAAGAGAAAAATTAATTGATATAAGAGAAAATCCTTTGGAAATGAGAGGAAAACAGTTAGAATAATATCTAATAAATGTTAGATGAATGCTTCACTTTAATCGCTTTATTGAAAGAGGAACCCTTCCTCTGTAAAAAGCCTCGCTTAGAATATGAGACTATCGGAAAAATCGCTTTGAAGTAAATAGAATACTTTTTTTGGATGAAAAAACTTCGTGGCCTCTTAATTAATTAATTAAGAATTAAAAATAATTTTCCTGTAATTATGACTCTCACGACTCCTTCGTAACGCGTCTCTCCCGTGAAAAGATTTTTCCCGGGAGATCAGAAAAGCCTCTCTTAAAGCGAACCCGCATCGTCCGAATTCCGCGATCGGCGCAAATAAGACGATAGCACCAACCCGACGCGCTATTATGAGACAAGGCGGTGTCTGAAAAAAAAAAAAAAAAAACAAACGGAGTTTCCTCAGGTTTGTCGTCGGGTCTCGATCTTACATCATTCGTTTGTTACAGAGGAGCGTCTGCACAAGGAGATCACGGACACGTGCGCCATGAAGTTCCCGGACTACGCGTTCTTGAACTCGCGTCTTCAATTTGACGAGAGCTTTTTTCGAGGTCGCTCGTCGTTCTGCGTGGAGATCAAGCCGAAGCAGGGCTACCTGCAGCAGGCGGAGCAGCAGATCCCCAGGTGTCCGTATTGTCTCATCCAGTACGCCAAGGTATACCAATCGGACCGTTCTTCAGTACCACGACGTTTCGAAAAGCGACTTTGTTAATACCAGGATGAAAAAGAAATACTACGATACGATAATAAACTGGGCTAAATTAAGACAGAGAAAGTCAATAAGTCCAGATGAGTGGAGAAATGCAGAGATACTAATGACATTAATTAAGATAGAGAAATTCAGCAAAAGGTTAAAAAGAAGACACGCCACGGCGACGAGATTAATTAAGATAAATCAAATTAAGCAAGTTGAGATAAAGAAGAAGGCACTAGGAGCCGTATATTAATTGTTGTTGTCTCAAACGAGCAGGCTGATCGGTCAATCAGTTGATAATGAAATTGAAAAGTTGACAACTCTCATAACTTGGTTAATCTTAGAAGAGATAGCTTTTGATTCAAAGCACAAATGAATAACCTATCGATATCGAGGGGAATATCATCGCTCGGGCTGCACATACTTAATATAGAATATAAAAAATGAAAAAAATAACATCAGTGAGATTTTCCCTCTCCCTTTCTAAGCATCGGGTATTGTTATTTTGTGTAGAACACTGAATCACAAAACTGACCTTCTCATTATATTAACTTAAAACGTACGGTTAAAAAATTATTTATGCAAGTAAACATGTAAATATCGGCTTGTAACAAGTTAATTAAATTCTGATTTAATTTTTTCCTTAAGTAAGCTAGTTTTCGCCTAAGCAACTTTTGACTTAACTGAGCGAATTCTCGAGGAGCCAATATAAGATAAATAAATAAATAAATAAGCCTCACGCAAAGTGTAATTTTTTTCAGCTGCGGCGGAAGAGCGTCTCAGCCCGCAGCAATTACTGTCCGTTCGATCTGTTCTCCGGAGTGGAAACGCGCATGAAGGCCGCCGTGGAGGAGCTCTTGAAGTCGCCGCAGAACAACCTGAAGATCTTCAGGGACGGTCTGGTCGTCTACGACCAAGAGTCCCAGCCGGGCGATCTCGAGGACGTGTTGAGCCAATGGTTTGGTCAGAGTGCGACGCCGTGTCGCAACATCGACGAGTTCTGCAATCTGATGTACTCCGCCCTTACGCAACCCCTCGCCCAGGAACAGCTGAAGTCGTTGTTCGCCACCACACATCCCGTTCGGCGTCTCCTCTTACCTACGAACCAAGTGCCGACGTTCTGCGCCGAGCCGAGCGCGGTCGCGAGAGCCGAGAGGTGTCTTCGTCTCGCGGGAAAGGTAGGCCACGAAAGCTGCCACGAAAATCTAACATTTGTCGGAAGAAGAGGAAAGAACGACGTGGTCGTTTGTAGTGAGACGTCGAGTGACTCTTGTCCTTCTTTCAGGTCTGTAATTTCGACAGCGACGGTTTGCCGACAGGCTCCGTGCTGGAGCGAGTCTGGAATATCCAACGATTGTCCTACACGAATACCAACTACATCCACAGCATCTACTCGAAATTTGCGCCGCTGCTGACTGACGATATGATATATTCCGATTTGACGAAGCTGCACGACTGCTACCTCTCCGCTAACGTCCCCCGACGCGTCTTATCCGACGGACACACGGTACGTAACGGAGATGGCATTGCTTGATGTTGTTGAAACTTTCCGGTGTAATTCAATGTTTGACACTGAAGTTCGAATAATACAACTTGGACACTTTGAGTCTCTGAGCTTCGTCTGAAGTATCGAAGCTCTCTCTTGCCAATGTTGAGTATTGCAACTAGTTTAAGTATAACCAGTTTAAGCGTCATTTTTAGCGTCACCCGACCTTACGGTGGAAACTTTCCACGTGGAAGAATTCGGTATCCGGACACTCCTTGGAACTTGGAGAACTCGAAAACAGTTCGAGTTCTCCAAGTTCCAAATTCACACGAGTATCCTCGAAATTTCCTTCTTCGAATATAATTCGAATTTATAATTGGAAGCTTCAGAAACTTCAGCGTCAAATATGCGTTACCTTTATTAGCCCCAGTATGCAATAGTATCGTTCTTTTTTCAATTACCTTCCTTTTGCATCTCGTCGATCGCGCATCGCGAAACCTGCACGCTTCGTTATCGTGTTCCTAATCTATTTTTATACGATGCGACACTCCAGACAGAGCGTGTTTGTCACTCTCTTTGTCTCGTTTCAGAATGCAGTCGTCCAAAAAACGCAGCCCACAAGAGGAGTATACTTCCAGAGGCTATTTAAGAGCGCCATCGAGACGAAATACGACGGCGATCTGAATGGAAATTGCGGCGCTACCTGCTCGAAACGTATCTTACCTGTTAATAGCGACAAAACGTTCGTGAACGGCGGCTTCGTATCGCAAACGGGAATTAATCCCAACTCAGATTCGCAGCAGTCATTCTATGGGAGCAACGAGAGCCCGTATCAGATGGCCGACAACGAGGGTGACCAGCGAAAGGCGAATGCATCGATCACCGCCGAGCACTTGTTGGCGTTACAAAATTACCTTTTGTTCGCCGCAGTCAGAGATTGTTCGATATTAATGACCTTCCGCGAATTGGAGCCGTAAGTACATTGCACGAAACAAGCAGCCCGCGTTTCTTCTAACAAGTTTTCTGACAAGAACAGATTCGCGATAAGATTAACACTCTCCGCGTATCCCAAGTATCAACCTTTGCGATAAACTTTGCGATTTTTCCGGCACTCCGCTACGCGCGACACACGTCGGCTCATGTCTGGCGGTAACGATCAGCTTGTGTCACAAATTCAATGAGAATCACGGGTCGTAGCCGACTGTTGATGAAATGAATCCTCTTCACTCACGTTGTTCGACTCGACTCGACTCTGCATTCGCGCGAGTGAACGGTCAATCTCGAACGTCGTGTAAAAGTATGTAGAGCGTAAAGAGTTAAGTTAACGCGAGGTAGTATCGTACAAGGTACAAGCTCCTTGATATAGTTATATTGTCCAAGACATATAACGATTGCCCAACACGAAACATTGCAATGAACGAGTTTCCCACTCGGAATATGTAATTTAGCAGAGCAGAAAAAATGCCGCGGTTCGTTACGGCGCAACCAACCTGTCGCCACTTTCGCCATACCGAATGTACTTCAGATAATTATGTATGTGTGTGTGTGTGTGTGTGTGTATGTGTATAATTTCCAATAATTGGGATTTCTTTCTCTCTGCAGGGAAAACGCATGGAGAGTACCTACGGAAAACACGATCAAGCTCTCGGAGCAGCTGTGCTTCTTGAGCAGCGTTAGAGTCTCGGACCTGGACCCGAAAAGTGTTCATTCCATCGAGAAACACCGACAACGAGACGTGGATATTTTCGATGCTGTGATTTCTTTGCTAGAAGAAGAAGAAGATATTTCCTTTAAGAATAGATAAGACCGCGCGGACGGGAAGCGACGCCGGCAATATAGATATAGTATTTAACGAAGACGAAGGATCTTCTAGACAGAAAGGAAAGGAATAAACGATAAAAGCGCAAGATTGACCGATGAAAAGTGACAACTGGCTTTGGAGCAAGCGAGAATTTTTTATTGGCGCGAACAAGAAACATTGCCGTTACGTGGACGAACACTTCGATCGACGATCGCTCGTTGCTTTCATTAGCTTATGCATTAGCATAGGCAAGGCTTTTATCGATCAATCTTGCGCTCATTGTTTGTTTAAGAGTCAGCCATTAATAATTATGGATATAAGCGTATATACGCATAATTGACGACACGCTTACCGATTACGAAGTCCGCCATGGATCCTTATGTGATCCTACTTCTTGTATTGCTCATGCGCGTTTAAAAGTGAGAATATTAATACTACCGAGATCGTCAATTAGTGTATAGTGATACAGGTTGATTTACCTTCTACCATGTACGATATGTAAGGGAAAGTCATGCGCATACAAGTCGTACAAGTTCAACGAACAAACGAATCACCTGTCCTTGAAGGCTGTAAAACTACTACTTAATTTTAACTCTTTGCAGTCGGATGCTTCGCGAGCTGAATTCGTCGAAGCAGTTTTGCCTAGGGCTGAGAAGTGATACGTTGTTTGTTATCGTTATAGATCCCTTTCTTCAATAACGATCTGCTAATATGCCAAACGAAGCTGAAGTATCATTCTCCGCAAGTAGCTTTCACTAAATCAGTCGAATTTATTGTAAGATTTTCCAACAAATTCGAAATCATTTGTCATTCTCTTCGAATCATTGTCACTCGCAACAATCTCGTTCAAGACAATGAACGTTACAAGATGTAGAAAGTGTCGTTCGAACGAAATCATAAAAATTACAAGCAGAAAGTAGAACAGAATAGACTGTCTACTATTGTGTAATACGGATTCACTGTTGCGGTTTTAACGCGCAAAAGCGTTATTGTGAAAAGAAGGTATAATCGTTTACGGCACAAATGTTATACGCACGTTTTTTCGTGATTTCTCATTACCACTCAGATTATACTTCTATTTCGTTTGATTTTTCGACGCGCGAAGCTGATAAGCTTGTAGAGTGGGAAAGAAATGTCACAGATAGTCAAGATTCAAAGTAACTCTCTAACTAATCTGAGTGCGCGTAGATCTCATAGTCACAAGACTGACTTTTAAGTGGATGCGAAGTTAGCAAGTTATTTAAATTGTGGAGCTTGCTAGCGCTTCCTCTTTAGAACGAATAAGAACGAATATGAAAGCAAATAGCTTGTATAAATAGCTTAGAACTGCAAATATACAATCGCTTATTCAAAAACTCAATTTTCATAATATATATTCCAATACGTACACCTTGCATTTCCTGCAATTAAATATCTCCACAAGATATATGATAGTGTATGTTAGTGTGTTAGTATGATAGTGTATGTACAGTTCGATGACATGATACCTAACAAGTCAAGTAAGGGCAGATTTCGCAGTATCAGCTGTAAATTTCTTTTTACAGCTTGTTAACAGAAATACAACAACAGGTTCTGCCAATAGAATATAATGACAGATTGACAAAGATTGAGTAGAGTAGACTGTTGCTCACTAATCATTTAAATATATTTAAATAGAACACACTACAGATTTATCGCTTAAATTTAATGCGATTACAGATGATTATATAGATCTATATATTATTATAGATCTGCTGCGATACTCCAGTCGAATCTGCTGCCAATCTGTTGACATACTGCTAACCTACCTATCACAGCACAACGTTGCAGCAATATTGCTGCAACTGTCTGTGGGTAGTAAACATTACATCAATACACGTATAATTTATTGTGTAAGATATGTAAGATAATTTTCCATTCGAGAATGTCAGTGCAATATAACATGTTGCACGCAACAGTTACCTCGAGAGATTATAACAATGTCCATGTAATATATTTTACTCGATGTTTACTGGGAACATTTTGCTCATTAGGTATTTATACTTAAGCGATTATCACGCGATCCGATAAAAGCGGCAACTTTTCGATACATTGCCCGAGTCGAATCGAGTATATATTGAGGGACGTTCACGTAACAATACTAGTAACCTGATCGAATTTTCGTACAAACGATTACCCTAGATACAAGGACGCGTAGCACAGTTATGAATGACGTGGATGCAAGGTGGGGTAAACGTATACTAGCATTGAGTGAATCAGGATCGGACGAAGCCCAAGTAGCACCCCCTGCAAGGGGCTGTCACTAGGTCAGTAGGATTTCGAGCATTTCTCAAGAGATCTTCAAGGCTCCTTGTCACCCGCAACAGTCCCGTTCAAGACCATGAACGTTGCACGATGTGGCAAACATGTGGTCGACGGTCGGAGTGAGAATCCAATGAAATCGCAAACGAATTAGCAAGAAGCACAGAGAAAAGAATTTTCAGGTGAAATTTTACCCGTTGACCCTCCGTAACTTTCCCAACATCCAACAGCATCACCTTTGCCTGTGCTTCTCTCTTCGTGAACAACAGACTCTCTTCTGGATGAGACAACAGACGAGAATAAGAGAGACAGAAGACGTCCTTTTTTGATCCCAGGATAAACACGTCGGGGGGCCGCCGAAGCCGTCACACCGGCCCTGAGAATGCACCATGCGCGATTGGCGGATCGGCACATTCAGGCACGGTCTGCCATATCTGCTACTTCAGCACTGGCAAAACGCGCAAGTGCACCTCCCAATCGGGTGCGCTCCGCGGCTCCGCGACGACGCGGCCTGTCAGTCGACGTTCGTTAATGGTGATGTATGTTCGTGGGCTCGCAGGGGACTGCTGATTCGTCGTCGTACGTGGTAAACTGCCCTGTCAGTGAGCTTCGCACGGGAGATGGGCACGCAAAGGCCGGAGGAATGGGCGAACGCGCTGATCACGCGCTTCGAGGACCAGGTACGCGCGATAGTACCCCGAAGAGGAGGAGGAGGAGGAGGAGGAAGCGCCGCTCGTCGAGCTCGCCCTTCTCTCCTTCCGCCTGCTGCATCTTCCTCCTTCGTCCTCGCTGCTCCACCTCCGCGTTTTGTGCGTTCCTCTCTTTTCCGCGGTTTCTGTCTCTCTCTCTCTCTCCTTACCACCCTCTTCCAGCGTGACCACTTCCTCCGCCCGACGTCACCTCTAGAACAACCCACGTTAGCCGATTTCTCATGCTTCTTCCTGAACACGTCCCGGGAACACGTCGCCGGTCCCGTCGCCTGATTCCCCCTCGATGAGAACTCCAGCCCCTCCTCGAGGGGATATCCAATTTCGAGCCGAGATCCCGTCGCGCGGGGTAGGTCGCGGCCGACCTGCCGGGCGGGTGCTGGTTTCTGGATCAACGACTGCGAGGACGATGCTCGTGTTGGAGCGCGTTGCCAAGCGGCCGGCTAACAACGCGAGCCTGTGGAACATGCCAGACTTGGAGGATGCGACGCTTGTTTTCGCGGTCCTGTCGAGTCCCTGCGAGCTCCTGCCGGAGCCAGCTTGACTTAAGTCGACCTGGACCGGGGACACGGAGTGGTGGATCGCCGGATACGCAACGGGCGATTCCACAGGAGGTGGGCTCGGCGGTGCAAGGACGAGGCGGAAGAATACAGCCATCCATCCTTGATTGTATTAATCTCGCTCGAAGGACCTCGATAGATCGCTGACCTACGCTGATTACGGTCTTTCGCACGCGGGTCGAAGCTGAGCGAGCTTCAAGTTCCGAGCTTGGCTGCAGCCCCTCGGCTCTTCTCTCGAAATTGCTCATGCAATTATGTGCACTTATTGGTAGGAAATGAGGGCTGCTCACGCGAAGGATCATCGTGCCCGACACCGCGACATTGTGTTCCTTTATTCGTTCATTCATGAAAAGACGCATTCTTGCGAGTGAGTCCTCCCTCTCCCCCGGTTCCTCCCCTGCGGTTTGACCTTCGCCCCCCTCTGCTTCCAGTCAAGCTCGCCGTGAGAGCGGCTCAATCAAGGTGTAGCAGCGAGCAGTAGCGTATTTGTTAAAGGGTGCGTTGTATCATCGATATCGGGGCGATCTTGCGTAGCTTTGCGTCTCGTCTCGATTTTGACCGACCGTACCTTGGTAAATATTCAGGAAAGCTCACATCTCGATGTTTTTTTGATATTAATGTTTGTCGCGTATATTTGATATCGATGTAAACCAAGCGGGAGATCGGATCAGTCGAGATGAAATGAAAGATTCTCTTTGTTTCTAGATATGATAAGCTTCAACTTATGCGGATAGTTCGAAGTTAATGCCACTTGCGTATCGAAAGCTCTTTTTTGTCATCGGTGAAATCCTCCGTTTTGCTGGATTGAAGAATATTGTATATTAAGAATGGGGACTTTGTAAAGATTAGCAGGCTTCTACGCAGGATTTACACTCGCCTAATCTCAAAACTTTTATTTTCTGTCTGTAGACTCATTAATTTCAGCAACGATTCAGTGGGATAGATAAATTAATAAGGGAAATATTAAAGCCATATCAAACGATTTCTTATTCACGAAGAAGTAAGAGAAAATAATTAGCGCTGGCTGAGATGAAAGAGTAAATGCATCAGAAAGAAAACATCAAAATTTTTAATTTCATTTTAATTTCTCCACCTGGCATCATTCCGGAAATCACCATCGCCAACCATCGTCCCTAAAATACATCTTGAATTACAAGGATTCGAGACGGGATGCGATTTTTTCTTTTGAATATTTACCTTTAATTTGCTCGATCGTCAGCTGACGATCGTAGTTGAAGTAATATTCCTTATTGGATTATGCGAGGAATCTGCGTTTGCGATATTTGCAAAATTGATTAGGAGACGTACGTATTCTCATTACTCGATAAATTCCAAACGATTTAAGATAAACCTCGAGATGACCGAGTTTCTTTATCTGTCACAATGACGATGGCGTTAAAAGAAAGAAACGGAGAGCTTCTCTGTTTTATATTTGTCATATCAGAGCTGGATTCAAATGAAATGAGAATAGCCCGGTCAAAAACGACTATATATAATCATATAAAATCATATACAGGGTGTCTGAGATCTTCTGGAGCTGACAAATTGTGAAGATTAATCAGATCGAACTGAGAAGAAAAGTCAAGTACCATTTTGCAAATAAGTATGTAAATTTTCAAGTTATCAATTAAAAGAGCCTCCAGAGCGGTCATTTTCAATCATTAATAACTATTGCGATTTTGCAAATGTTACATAACTTTTCTCCTCAGTTTGATCTGATTTCCAAATGATCCCTGGGACACCCTGTATATATATAAATTATATATCATTATATATAATCCTTATATAAAAATTTTGTTTCCGTATGGTTATGTATATAATTATATATATCCACATTGAAAAAAGCGCTGTTGAATGAAGAAAAGAAGAAATTCCGTCCAATCACACACACGTTTGCAGTTACTTTAATTGTTTGTACATTATTGCACTTTTTGGCCATTTACTTATATTTATGCATGGCCATGCGGAGACAAAATTAATCGTACATAAAATTCTTCTTCGCCGGGAGAATTCTCCACGCAAGGATCACATCACTCAACTTCAACTTATTAACTCATTTCTTCTTCATCGCACAAAGGACTCAAGAAGGTAACGTACGTAACCGCGAATTCGTTACGCCCTTGCCGAATTCGCAGTTTCGTTGTCACAGTGACGCTACATATGGCGCCGGTGAATGAAAATTGCACTCCTTTAATAAGCACTGCCTGCCCGTTGTTGGGCAGACACGAGTCGAAGAAAAGGGAACAAAAGCGTAATCGATTGCGCGGCACGAGCGCGTAAATTGACGTTTCTCGATGTCGAGACAATTTGTCGCCGCTGTTGCTTTCGCGCGCGCGAAAAACGCTTCAGGCTTAACGCCTCCTTTACGGCGCGGCTATTTTTATGTCCCGTGCAGCGTGATAATTACTGTACCTTCGGCTCACTGTCCTCGCAAGGACAATAAGCTCCTGGCAGGAAACAGGTCAATTCTTTCGGTCTTCAGCGATGAAGGCTGCAAAATGTGTAAACCTCTCGAAGCAACACTTGCTGCCGCAGTTAGCGTCGATTAATTGACGACATTTCACATTTATGAAATAACAAGATTGCAAGCAAGAATAAATAAATACGACACAAATGGAGCAGGTTGTGGAACGAAATCTTTCAAATATCGAGAAAAAATATTCAGAAATGTGTAAATATGAACTCTGCGGTTGTAACGCGTCTCGAATCTTGACCCTTTCGGAACCTTTTCGGCAATTATTAATGGCTGCGTTCAGTAGAACAAAATGATCAGTGAGCGCTTAGTGATTATTGTCTGTTGATTGGAGCGTTCTTTTAGATTCTTCATAGACCCAGAAGTATTTGCCAATCAGGAGCGAGAATCATTAAGCGCTCACTGATCATTTTGTTCTTCTGAACGCAGCTAATGGTTGCGTTCAGAAAACAAAGCGCTCGCTGAGCGTTTAGTAACTATTGGTCCTTACTGTGTTAGATCCTTACATTCAGACCAATAACGTTGACGAATTACTCAACCGTTGTGTAACCGTTGTGTTTTCTGAACGCAGCCATTGTCAGCCGTGAAAAGGTTATGTTTACATAATGGAGCGATCGAAGCAATAACCGGCGACGTGGAATATTGCCAGATTTGCCTATGAGGAGTGGATAATTAAATTATGTCGATACACCGAATGGAATTTATATTGACGGAATTTCCTGACGTCTTTCCATTAAATTATCGCAGACTACGTAATTTCGGTAATCGTTCAGGTAAAATGAAACGTCGTATTTTTATATCGTTTTATCGTTTCGCGAAACAATATACGCGAAGGATGGAAGCAGAAATTACACGGTATGTACATGAAATTACAACAACATAAAAACACAGTCGTTTCATCTTACCTGAGAAAATCCGAAATTCCTATTGTTACATGTATACAAAACTTTTATGTAATCGATGTTTATTCAATTGAAACAATATTTCCCGTTTAGAAACCCCTCGGAGAATTGAAGATTTCCTCAAACAAACACTCTGATACCTGAAGAGTAAAACATTTTTTACACTTAATTCTTTGCGCATTGCATCTTCACCTTCTCGTACTTCAGCTTCTCTCCCACTGGATTGTCCCTCAACGATTTGTCTCCTTCGAATGCAGCTGCCATGTCGTTCCGGTCTTCAAGGCCCGCAATCCCGCGCGAACCAGATGAGGAGCAAAGAGTGTCTGATCGAGATCTCTCAGTACCACTTCTCCTTCGTTATATCCGGCCTCGTGAAGATGCTGCAGCGCGTCAGCGAGACGGAGCACCGAGCGACGGCGCCGAGCACAGGTGTCCAACGGCTGTTCCAGAATCTGGACCGGCGAGAGTCCATCATCATCGTCCTGGACACGCTGGAGAAGTGCCTGACGAACCAGCCGAAGGACACGACGAAATTGGACGAGGCCATGAAAATGCTGCTCAAGGAGATCTACCAGTTTATAGGTGAGCATAAAAACAGGATTCGAGAGCTCTATCTGATGAAGGATTACATTGGATCCTGCGAGACACGCGTGGTACTCTCTGGAGCCTTACTTCAGATAGTACGGTGAATTCTTAAAGGTATTCCGGAAATGTTCTTCCTTCCCGAATTCGTCGTTCATTAAGAATTCATACAGGAGTACTGTAAGAATGACTCGCAAAGTTATATGCATCTTCCCCCTCCCCCTCGTCAGTGGAATTCCTGAGAACTTTGTAAAATGTTCATACAGGATTATTTCATATCAGTAGATGTATATTTTATTTTATCTGCTGCTGATCGTACTGTAAAAATCTTGCTTATGGATTGTTTGTGTTATAGAGAGTGCCCTAAAAGTCCCGGAATGGCCAAGTATCTCGAAAATAAAGCATTTTAGAGAAAAATATTTCATACAAAAGTTGTAGAATTTCAAGTGAAGAAGCAATAATGACCTTGAATCGTGTTGTCAAGATCATGTAAAGATCACTCTGAAATTTTTAAATGGAAACCCCCATTTTTTATTATATCACTTTTTTCATTAATTTAAACAACTTTTGTCTGAAATATATTTTTATTTGCTTAATATTTTTTGAGATATTTAAGGAAAACTTGGTAACTTTTTCAATATTCAGCTTATCTCGATGATTATTATCTCCGTGATTATTTGTCGGAAGAAAAAGTGGTACTAGACTTTTTTGCACTGTTTGGTCTCAAGAATGCCGTTGCAATAGTGCCTTAACTTTTGTGTTAACTTGGTGATTTTGAAATTACCAAAGGTCATCAAGTTACTTGAAATTCTACAACTTTTGTGTGAAACATTTTTCTCTAAAATTTCGTTATTTATTTTCGAGATATCTGGCTGTTCCGCGACCTTCGGGACACTCTGTGTATATTTTGGGAGGACCCGAACGTTGCAGTTAATTATGTATACATAGATTTTGCCTTTATATGACTATAAACCCATACAGCACATAGAGTTGAAGAAACATTGCTGCAACGTTGGAACAATGGCCGCGTTCAGCAAAAAAAAGCTGCTTACTAAGCGCTTAGTAATTATCGCTTCTGATTGGTTCATTCCTCTGGATTTGTTAAAGATCTAAAACAATACTCCAATCATAGATAATAATCACTAAGCGCTTGGTAAGCAGCTTTTTCTGCTGAACACGGCCAATGTTGCAACGTTGCAGCAATATTGCTGCAACTTCTGTGCTGTATGGGACATACATAATTACATATGTTTACATAGAAAAAATATAATAAAGTAATTGCTTATGTTTACGACAGCTCGTAGATGTAGATGCCCAATTAAATGAAACCATTTCGTCTTGCGTTAATTCAACAACGTCTTTTTTCAGTACGGGCGTACATAACTTCGTATGATTATATACGAGATTATATACTCGTACGTGACGATATTAGAGACAAAATTCACGCGTAAATCGTAGATAATAATATATAATTTATACGTAATTATATATGATTTTATATAATTATATATAATCTCTTTTAATCCTACGGGCAAAGAGTGAGGTCGGAAATGTACACGACTACCGAAAGGTCGCACATGAGGGTCAAATGAAGGGGTTTGAGTTCCTGCAAACACGAGCGATTCTCTGAATTTCTTGCAGGCATATCGCACGACAGCCCGCAAACGAAGATGATAAGAGAGCTGGCGAGCAAGGTGCTGTTCGCCCTGAGCCTGAATTTCTTCAACGCGGTCTTCAACCGGATATCGGCTCGGCTGCAGGAGCTGGCCAACAGCGGGGACGAGAATCCGGACTGCAGCGACATCGAAATAATACAGCACATTAATGTTGACGTTTACAGACTGACCAGGCTGTTGAATGGTAGGCGGTGGATATTAAGTGTGACGCGATTACTGCACTAATTAACGTACCATTGCTCACGCGTGCGCTCGCTGTGTGTCGCTCCGCAGAAACGATACAGAAAGTCCAGTCGCCGAAGAAATCGGTGCACCTGTTGCTCATGTCTTTTCTGGAGAAAGCGATCTGGAACTGGATGGACACCTATCCGAACGAGTTCGCCGAGGTGCAGAAGCAGCCGAACGAAGATCTCGGCAAAGCGTGCGAGGAACTGTTCCACGTGCTCGATGCGTTCGTCGACAAGAAGAGCCGCGCCGCGATAGTGGTGTGGCCGTTGCAGATCATGCTGCTAGTGCTGTCGCCCAAGGTACTGGAGGAGATCGTGAGGCCCGACAAGGCCGTGCCCGGCTCGCCGCGGCACATCAAGAAGAGGCACTTCATCGAGAACGTGAAACGCGGCCTGGGGTATGGCAGCTCCTCCAGCCGGCAGCTGACCGAGGCCGCGGCGGTCACATGTGTCAAGCTGACGAAAGCGGCCACGTACATCAGCGACCAGCACGGCAACAACATCGTCTTGACTCTGGTGCAGCAGCTGATGGCCAACCTGATGTCGCTGCTTTTCAACACCTCCAAGCCGTTCTCCCGCGGGCAGAACCACACCGCGCAGGACGTAGACTTGATAATCGACTGCTTTATTAGCTGCTTCCGCATCAATCCGCACAACAGCGAAGTCTTAAAGGTCTGCCTGAACGTTAACTACCCGTCGACGTACCAGTTCGTCCTAGTCAGCTCGTTGTACAAGCAAGTGCCGAATGTTCTTTCGTTCTCAACGGTCGCGCCCAAGCGCCGCGCCGGCGATATTTTTCACCGGTGCCCTCGCTCACGCTTTTCAGGATCATCACGCAGCCGAGACTGTCGTGGTGGCCGCAGATCGATCTTCTCTACCCGCACAGCACGAAGTTCCGGAACATGTTCACCGACACGCTCAACAAGGTCACGCAGAACTACATATGGTACGCGCCGTTGCGCATGATCCACAGCTTGAATTTGCTTAAGAGCAAGGAGGACGTAGCCAACTCCAAGAACGTGCTGCTGGGAATGGTGCGGCTCATCCACGCAGACCCCATGCTGATGTTGCACGTATGTTGCCACTCTACACGTAGCCATAGGGTGATTTCCAGGGTCGGAAATTGCTTGTAACTTGTTGCGTTACCGTTTACCAGTTACTTTCTCCCGCTGACAACTGGAGATGTGCGAATCAAGAATTTTTATGTCGAATCGAATCGAATCGAATCTCATTTTTTTAATTCGAATTCGAATCGAATCGGATCTATGAAATTTCATTCGAATTCGAATCGAATCGAATCATTAAAAAATTTAACATGACTATTAAACATGCACATAATGATGGAAGGTTTTAATATGAAAGGGGATATTGATATTGTAATATCATCTTAAAGTGAAATATATATTTAAATATTTAAAGTAATTTATAATTAAGTTATTAATTATAAGCTAAGTTAATTACAAGTTAAGGGTTCAAACATACAGGCCCAGATGTCTCGTTTTGTACTTGATGCATGCAAATGTAATGCACGCTAATATATTTGATTCGTAATTGAATCTTCGATTCGAAATTTTCGAATTATTCGGATTCGAATCATAGGGATTCAGATTCGAATCGAATCGAATTACATTAGATTCGATTAGATTCGATTCGAATTCGAATAGTTCGCACATCTCTACTGACAACTTAGTACCTTGGTGTTTTCCTTTCTTCGTTAATAACGATGAAGCAATTGTTTTTTTCTTGGTTATGATGACTAGTACGATTTTTGCTTTTATCATTGACTTTCACTTTATTCCATGGTTACTAGCGGAATACATAGAATGAGCACACAGTCAGACGCAAAAAGAGGAACGTTAATAGCGACGACTGATCAGGAATTGTGTGTGTGTGTGTGTGTAAATTACATAAATTAAATTATGCAATTTAATGTAATTTGCGCGAATCGTTGATTTGATGAGGGTAACGAGTAACGATGTAACGCGTTTGTTCTTACCCATTGGATTATCTTCGAAACGTAACTTTTCCAACCCTGGGCAATCCCGAGAAAGAGGCATGCCAGCAGCAAGATCTCGATGGGAATTGTGCGAGACACGATAACTTGCTACTTGCCTGATTTACTTTGGATGGGATGTGTAGGGTTTATGAGACGTTTGGCAGCTGTATTAATTCGCCGCTTTGCAGAATTCCGGCCAAATTCAAGGCCAAAATATGCAAAACTCCACTTTAGAGCTGATCAATGGACTGGTCTTACTAATCCATCAGACCTCGATGCCAGATATCGCCGATGAGGCAATGGAGGCTCTGTTAGTGTTACATCACCCGAATATAATCAAAGCGTGGAATCCTGAAGCACCGATGAACACTTATTGGGATGTGAGCTCGCAGGTTCTGTTCTCGATTTCTCAGAAGTTAATTCAACATCAGATCTTTAACTATACAGCCATACTCAAGTGGCTGCATGAGATATTGATCCGCAGGAACGCCTTTCTCTCTCAGAATAAGGATAATGCGAATGTGGGCAGCGAAATTGCGATTTGCAAACAAGCGCACATTAAACTCGAGGTATATGTCCGACGAATGAAGCATCTCTGTCGATTGTTATAGAATCATAAATGATGAAAATTAATTTGTAACATAATTTATACATATATATGGGATCCACGTCAATCGGATCACCTCCTTGTCCAAAATTTGGTGTAACGCATAAGGACGTGTGATGGCTTAAAAAATTTGTCTATACGTTAAAATACTTTTAAAAGCCATGTGGCCCGTTTGAAAAATCAAGATGGCTGCACCAATATGGCGCTTGAAAATGCGAAAAACCGCATGAATTTCCAGATATCTCTACGTTATTAGGTGAATAATCCACGAATCAGCCTCGAATCGACACTCTGGTGGTACTCGATGACGCTGATCACGAAAATGAAGTCAGATTGTCGAAATTCAATATGGCAGATCCAATATGGCATCTGACAGTCCGGAAAACCGTATAAATTCCTAGATATTCCTACAGGATGATGAAGAGGAGGATGATGAGAAGAATGATGAAGACAATGAGGATTGAGATGAAGAGAATAGTGAGGATTCGGATAATGGAAGATGATGAGGGCGATGAAGATGAGGATGACGAGGAGGAGGATAATGAAGGCGATGATTACTGGAAGGGCGATGACGATGACGATGATGATGATATAAATGGATATCAGAAAGTGGAGATGAAGAATGGGAGGATGGTGAGAATGATGAGGATGCAAATGAGAATGAGAATGAGGATAACGATGAGGAGGATGTGAATGAGGGTAACGATAAGGAGAATGAAGAGATCAAGGATGATGATGAGTAGAAAGTTAATGATGAGGATGATATTAACGAATACTATGTATGTTGATAAATACTATGCTCGAACAGAATCACACCACGTATGGAACTGAAGACCACTGTTGAGAGATTAAATACAGTATTTCGTGGAGCCACCGATTAAAAACGCTCACCAACTATCTTGAAAAGACTGTTGATCGAACGACCACAATCGGCCTGAGAGCAATCAATGAAGATGCTTATCAACTATCCTGAAAAGGATTATTGATGAAGCGACCATAGTTATTCTGAAAGCAACCGATAAAAATACTTAACAACTATTATGAAAAGGTGTCTACGTATAGATCCTCAGGGATAGTTGGGTTCAGACCTTGCCTGCCTGTGATGTAGATCCTCAGGGGTTGATAGATTAAGGCATTGCCTGTCTGTAATGTGGATCTCTGGGTTATCAAGGATCTCCAAGAAGATCGGTTCAAGGCTGATTCGTTCTGATGAGGAATATCTAGAAATTTATACGGTTTTCCGGACTTTCAGGTGCCATATTGGGTCTGCCATATTGAATTACGAGAATCTGACTTCAGTTTCGCGATCAGTGTCATCGAGTACTCCCAGAGTGATGATTCGAGGCTGATTCGTTGATTACGCAGCTAATGACTTAGAAATATCTAGGAATTTAGGCAACTTCCCGTATTCTTAGACGCCATATTGGATCTGCCATATCGAATTTCGGAGATCTGACTCCAGATTCGTGATCAGCGGTATCGAATACTCATAGAGTGTCGATTCGAGGCTGATTCGTTGATTACTCAGCTAATAACGTGGAGGTATCTGGAAATTCATGCGGTTTTTCGCATTTTCAAGCGCCATATTGGTGCAGCCATCTTGATTTTTTAAACGGGCCACATGGCTTTTAAAAGTATTTTAACGTATAGACAAATTTTTTGAACCATCACACGTCCTTATGCGTTACACCAAATTTTGGACAGAGAGATGATCAGGTTGACGCGTATCGTCCCATATATATAATTTAAATTAAAATTATTAAAAAATTATGTGTGTAACTACGTGTGATAATCAGATATACATAATTATTAATGCGTAAATTGAAAAGATATACGTATATAAATTATATTTAATATATATATTTATATAGGGTGTCCGAGATCTTTTGGAAACGAAAAATTGTGAAGATTAATTAGATTAAACTGAAAAGAAAAGTTATGTATCATTTTGCAAAATCGCAATAGTTATTAATGATTGAAAATGACCACATCTAGAAACTCTTTTAATTGATAATTTGAAAATTTAGCGATATATATGGGTATATTGAACTTTGAATTCTGAATCTTGAGCCTGTTGCTAGGTTAGCCGTCATATAATTGTAGATTAGATCATTCTGGACGAAAAAGTTCTTCACCATTTTGCAAATAAATACGTAAATTTTCAAGTTATCAGTTAAAATGATGCGGTCAATTTCAACTATTATTTATTAGATGTGGTCATTTTTACCATTAATTTCATTTAACCATTAATAACTTAACAACTATTGCGATTTTTGCAAAATGGCATTTGACTTTTCTTTTCAATTTGATCTGATTAACCTCCAGAATTTTCCCTTTCCAAAAGATCCCGGACACTCTGTATACAATTATGTAGTTATTTATATATCTAATTATTGTGTGACTAATAATTACAATTAATAATTATATAACTGTACTGAATGCACAGGTCGTTTTCTTGATGTACTTATGGAGCACAGACACAGAGGCTATTTTAATATCCATGTCTTGCTTCGCGTTGTTATGCGAGGAAGCTGATATTCGTTGCGGCAGCGACGAGGTGGCAGTGACTTGTCTCCTTCCGAATTATCATTTGTACTTAGAGTTAGCGCAAGCTTCGAACACGTTGAGCACTGGTGAGTTTGATTTTTCTGAATTTCCTCACTCCCTCGAGATTTGACCAGTGCCAAGCCTGTTTTGTATACCGAGGCGAAAGATATTCCGTCGAATTTCAAGATTCACTTACAAATGCAAAGATCGATGCTACTATTTTGATTATCAAAACTCTTATTCGGCTGTAGTATAGTATTAAAGACCTTGTTACTGTAACAGCCCGTAAGGAGAGTAAGCAACCTAATACTAATACTAATACTACTACTAATACCACCACCACCACCACCACCACTACCACCACTACTACTACTGCTGCTAGTTCCACTACTACTAATACTAATGCTAATCAGAAGGAGAGCGAGGAAAATAAGCTATATACAGCTGTTACTAAAGGTAAGAACCTGTCTTCAGTCACCTCTGGTCCCTCATCGTGGAATTCTGATTTGATGACGTCAGAAGCGAGAAAATACATGCCGAAAGTGCTTGCAAGATACGCTGAAAAAGAGATGTATCTGTAAAAAAATACTTACACTTTCCTTTTGCTCTAACAAACATTAAATTAACATTAAAACTGTTAAATTGATGTGACATGCAACCTACCTTTCTCATCTCATAATAAAAGAAAAGTGTTTGGATTATCTACAAGACCTGCTCCATTGATCGTGTAATGTTGTAAACGTATCCCTTTCATTTCAACGTATCTTGCAAGAATTTTTAGATTGTATTTCCTCGCCTCCGAACCTCTGGATGAATCAGCATGGCCACGACGAGGAAGCAGCGAGTTTTCTGTGATATTTCTGCGGGAAGAAAATCCTTGCGTAGCGACGGTACAGTTCAATATCTATATTTCAGGCCAAGGCCCGTTGCAAAAGAAGATATTTTCCTTACTGAGGAAGATAGACCATTGCGTGAATGGTGTATACCCCGTACGTATATCGTCTCTTTGTACGCACGCTTTACGTCTAACCGACAGGAATGAAGAAAGTCTTTTCTGTCGATGCTCAGGCTTGGGAGGAGACCGTGATAAAGTGGGAGGTCACCTCGCGACAATTGTGCAATTACCCCAAGACCAAAACGGAAGACGGTCAAGCGGACTATCGCAGCATCGCGAAACGCAGAGCGGCGCATCAGAACTCGGAACACGAGCTGGAGGACCAGCTGAGCGAGTGGGGCAACATGACAGGGTTCTTGTGCGCTCTAGGCGGTGTGTGCCTGCAGCGACCCTCGTCGAACACACCGCCCTTCAGTATGTCGTTCTCTAATCCCGAGCCGAAGAAGAACTCGACGAAACAGCAAGAGTTCGGCTCGACGTCCGGCTTGACGAACCCTAACCAGGAAGTGCAGTATTACCCGGTGACGCAGTTTGTGCTGAACTTGCTGCAGCTGCTGATCTGCAACAACGAGAAGGTCGGCACGACGATACAGAAGCATGTGAAGGAGACGATCGCGCACGAGCTGAGCCCCGCCTTGTACCCGATATTGTTCGACCAAATCAAGAGCATCGTCGAGAAGTTCTTCGATCAGCAAGGACCGGTGATACTGCAGGACCTGAACACGCAGTTCATTGAGAACACCATCTTCATAATCGTAACTATCTTGGAGTCTAAAACGGATCAGTATTCCGAGTACCTCGGCATGACCAACATCGAGAGCATGACATTGGTGATCGTTAGATACGTCAGGCACTTGGACATGTCGGTGAATTCGATCTCCATTAAGACGAAAATGTGCAAGCTCGTGGGGTTGATGATGAAGAGGCGCGACGACCTGGCGTTTAGGCAAGAACTGAGGTTTCGGAACAAGCTGGCCGAGTATCTGACCGAGTGGGTGTTGTGCGCGAATCACATCACTCAAACAACCAGCGGCGACACAACTCAGGCCAGGTAACGACGAACATGCCTCGTTTTGAATGAAAGCTTGCAAGGTTCTTTGATTAAAGTCAAATAATACGGCAGTGGAGGAGACGGCAAGAGTGGCTGACGTTCGCATTGATTTTGAAATCATGCGTTCGTCTTCAGCTGAAATTACAGATTGCGGAGGGTCGAACGTCAATTACCTGCAATTACTTTACCTGCGTATGCGGTATATTTTAATAAAACGAACGCAGACGAGACCCCTTACTGTTCCTTTACTATTGAATAACTTGAACATGCTTTCCGAGTGCACGAGATAATCACGAATTTCACTCGTTGAGTTTCAAGCCTTTGGTCTGTTCTCAAATCCGCCGCTTTGATTGTTCGCAGAGTGCTGAATCAAGCTTGCATGGAGGCAGTGGCCGCGTTGTTGCAAGGACTCCCCCTTCAGCCCGAGGAGACTGATCGACGTGACGTGATGGAGGTGAAGTCCGAACTGTTCTTGAAGTACTTCACGCTCTTCATGAATCTGATGAACGACTGCAGGGAATCGTCGGAGGAGGGGAACGAGGTGTCCCCGCAGACGCCCGCTTTGCTGAACAAACAGATGGCTACTTTGCGCGACACCACCATCCAAGCCATGAGCAATCTTCTCAGCGCGAATATAGACAGTGGCCTGCAGCACTCGATAAGTACGCGAGAATATGAGGTATTTCTCGGGAATGGTATTCATTTGCGCATTTCAATGTATTTTTATTCTTTCGAAAACCCCGCCTTTGAGTCGGGTAGAGGACAAAGTTTCGACACTTTCGCATGGATGAACATTAGAGCGCATCTAGTATGGGAAGATTCTCCACTAAGAATGGTGAAAAGAAAAGAAGAAAATTTTTCCACTGGATACGAGTGTGTTGTGAAACCCGTTGAATAAATGAAGTTAAGTGAAAGATCGCAGGATTCTTTCATCAAAATGATCAAATGACACAATAGTGTAGGACGATAAGAGCTAAAGTCGCAAGTCTCCTTCGCATTGGTTACTCTAGATGTAGGTAGCAAACTAACTGGCTGTCGGGACGTATAAGAGTGGCAAATCTTCTTCCACTGATTATACAGGCAACATCTTCATTTCCTATTTTTGTTGTCCGCTTCATTCGAAGAACTTCTTTCCACGAATGGTTCATCTATTCATGGGACATCTATTCATGTTCTGTGTTCGATTTCTGTTTACAGGCTTAGGCTATAATCCGGACCTCCAAACAAGAGCAGCGTTCATGGAAGTGCTGACTAAGATCTTGCAACAAGGAACGCAGTTTGACACGCTTGCCGAGACTGTGCTAGCGGATAGATTTGAGCAATTAGTTCAGCTGGTTACCATGATCAGCGACAAAGGCGAATTGCCTATCGCAATGGCCTTGGCTAACGTCGTGGCGACGGGTCAAATGGATGAGCTGGCGCGCGTTTTCGTCACGCTGTTCGATGCGAAGCACTTGCTGTCGTCCATGCTGTGGAATATGTTTTACCGCGAAGTCGAGCTGACCGACTGCATACAGACTCTCTTTCGCGGCAACACCTTGGCATGCAAGATCATGGCCTTCTGCTTCAAGATTTATGGTTCTTCCTACTTGCAAAACTTGCTCGAGCCTCTCATTACGCCCTGGATGAACGATTCTACAATTAGCTTCGAAATAGACGACGCGAGGATCAGTTCGAATGAGAACATCCAGCAAAACGGCCGTAACTTGATCGCCTTGACGCAAAATGTCTTCGACGGTATAGTGTCGTCGGCTGATAGGTGAGTCGTTGTCTGTCCGTTTTCACTCTACATCATACACGAAGTCGTTTAACGTCAGAGCAACGTCAGTCCTGTAAGAACTGAGCGCTGAATCAATGCGCGCGTAGAATAAACGGGGAAAACAACAATATAGTCTTCAGTCTCAACTTCAGTAACTTTTAAACCAATATTTTCTCAGAATTTATAGAAGTGACTGTGAAGCGATTAGAGGACTTGACGTGTACATTGTAGAAGAAAAGAAAACTAAGTATAGACGTCTCGATTCTGTGCTTTGGATCATTTGCAGCATTACATAAACGCGTTTTCATCTGTTCCAGTAATCCATTGATCCAGAATTTGGCTTTTATCTTTAGATCTAATCTTGATTGACAGAAGTTCTAAATTAAGTATCAATATCTGACGCACAATGCATGCAAACGCACAATTGAATATTCATTTATCAAATATATCTTTTTTGGAAGGTGCGAAGATATTGGGGGAAGAAGCGAAACCGAGAAAGAATCATAATGTTGTTTACCTTTTAATTCCAGGTTTCCTCCGCAGCTACGTACGATGTGTCACTGCTTGTATCAAGTGCTGAGCCAAAGGTTCCCGCAACATCCGCAGAACAACATCGTGGCCGTGGGAACAACGATATTCCTGCGCTTTATCAATCCCGCCATAGTCGCTCCTCAAGAGATGGGTATTGTGTGCAAAGCAGTGCCCTCTTCGATGCAACGAGGTCTCACGCTCATGTCGAAGATACTGCAAAACATCGCCAACCACGTGGAGTTCAGCAAGGAGCAACATATGCTTCCCTTCAACGACTTCCTGCGAGCGCACTTCGAGACCGGCCAACGATTCGTCATACAGATCACGTCCAACTGCGAAACTCCCGGTCAAACTCATCATCCGATGTCGTTTGTCTCGGACGCTAACGTCCTGGCCTTGCACAGGTTGCTGTGGAATCATCAAGAGAGAATGGGCAACTATCTCAGCAGCATCCGAGACCACAAAGCCGTGGGGAGGAGACCTTTCGATAAATTGGCCACGTTGCTGGCGTATCTCGGCCCGCCTGAACATAAACCTGTGGACTCTTGGTGAGTCGTTGAAGTATAGAGAATGGCCTACATGAAGTTCAACAACTACACTATCCGAATATTTCAAGAGAATTTTGCTCGATACATATACACGAAGTGAACATCCCAATTAATAACCATGTGGCACCCTGAAATTAAATTAATAAATTAAATTAATAATATGCGCGTTGAGCTAAAAGTGTGCAAAATGGATCTTGTTGGAAAGCTCGAACACACTTGAGGCTTCAATCTATTTCTCCATCTATTTCATGACAAGATTTCAATTGATTTATAATATTGGATGAGTGCAAAATTTTTTTAGGGGTTTCTCAAAGATGTGGTTGATCCAATTTTATGACAGCATTTAGAAATATGTTAGTTAGATCAATAGTGACGTCGTGTCGTCATGTCCATTAAGTGTCTACTCATTTGAAATTTTAAAATTATCCTCGCTCTACGTTTCAAGGTAGGATGAACGAGGATAAGTTTTGAGGCAGATTTCAGGTTCGTGGGATCTTTATGAAATTCGACACCAGCGCGAGTTGATCTCTCCTGAAAAGTAGATCGTGTAGTTTTCAGGATATTAAGTTATCAAGCCTTATATACACAGGCCACCCTTGATTTTCGCCTTGATCGATATTATCGTGTAACAAAGTTCCGTCCAACTAGTCTGAGCCGCGAACTAATTACACACATTTTGATTCCCTTTCAGTTCGCTCTTTTCGTCCTCTTACGTCCGTACGATGGTGCGGCGGCAGCAGATAAGCAGCGACATGTCGTCAACATGCTTCGAAGAGATCATGATGAAGCTGAATGTGCACGAGACGGAAGACTTTAAGAGCATTCAGAACACGAATATCTTTTACCAAGCAGGCACCAGCAAGAAGGATTATCCGGTATTTTACTACATTGCACGACGTCACAAGTATGTGAAATTGTTTTATTATAGCTTTAGTGGAAGATAAGCAACATGTTGGCCAGCAGATTTAGTCAGGGAAGCGAACATGAATCTTCTCCTCTAGAGTGAACTCGTGAAAAGTGAACATCTCTCGATGCTTTGAAATTAGAAAACTTCCATTTTCCCGGAGAAGAAAAGATTCATGATCAAGCCGTGGCAGATTCATGGCCATCTGCTCGTGTTCTGTCGAAAGCCTGCTGACGTAACGTAAAATGGCAGATTGGCGGTGGAGTTTTTCATTTTATGTATTTAAATAGTTAGACGAAACGACGCGTTAGATGATTAAGAGGGAAGTCGATGGGAAAGCAGTACGATTAAAGAGGAAACTAATTTCCATTTTCAGGTTCAACGAAATGAACAGCGACTTTTTGATATATCACGTAATGCTAACGTTGAAGCCCTTTTACCGCTCCCCGTACGACGTAGTGTTCGATTTCACCAATACGAACTCGGAAAATCGTTTCCGAACAGAGTTCTTGCAAAAGTGGTTTTACGTGCTGCCGGAAGTGGCTTACGAGAATGTCCACGCGGCTTACATTTACAATTGCAACAGTTGGCTCCGCGAGTACGCCAAGTGTAACGACCGAATCCTCGCGCCGCTCAAGGGTAATCGCAAGGTGATCTTCGTGGATGGACCGGGCAAACTGAACGACGTGATCGACGTTGAGCAACAGAAACTGCCCGGAGCCACGTTATCCTTGGACGAGGACTTGAAGGTCTTCGCCAGCATGCTGAAGTTGTCGAACAAGGAGATCAGAGTGTCCGTGAAGATCGGCTCGGCGGCTGTTCAGATTACTCACATGGACAAGACGAAGGTGTTGTGGCAGTACGTGACCTTGAACGATGTCTACTACGCGTCCGAGATCGAGGCGGTTTGCCCGATGGACGACAGCCAGTTTACGTTGACCATCAGCAATGAAGCCGGCCTGCTGAAGTTTACCCACAACGACTGCGAGAGCATCGTCCAGGCTATCAATCATATCAAGAACCGCTGGGTAATGTCGCAGTCGGAGTCGATGTCGGTCCACGCGAAAATTCGACCCAAGGACGTGCCCGGCACCCTGCTGAACATGACCTTGCTGAACCTTGGAAGCCCCAACCCGAACCTGCGCACCGCCGCGTACAACCACTTGTGCGCGCTCACGGCGACTTTTGATTTGAAGATCGAGGGTCAGCTGTTGGAGACTTCTGGCCTCTGCATACCGTCGAACAACACGATATTCATCAAACACCTCAGCGAGACCTTGGCAGCGAACGACCCGCACCTCACGCTCGAGTTCCTCGCCGAGTGCATACAGGGCTTCAAGGCATCGACAATCGAGCTGAAGCACTTGTGCCTTGAGTACATCACCCCATGGCTGAACAACCTCGTGCGCTTCTACAAGTCCAACGACGAGTGCGGCAGGCGGCACAAACAGCTCACCGAGATCCTGGATCAACTGATTACATTGACCGCTGAGGAGGTCGAGATGTATCCGAGCATACAGGCGAAAATCTGGGGCACGATCGGCCGGCTGCCCGAGCTCATCGACATCGTCCTCGATATGTTCATCCAGCGCAGTGTGCAGCACCGCTTGGGCTCGCACATGGCGGAGATCTTGGCGGACACCGCGGTCGCCTTAGCGTCCGGCAATGTACAGTTGGTAGCTAAGAAGGTCATTAGCAGGCTATGTCGCATGGTGGACAAGACTTGTTTGTCGCCGACGCAGTTGCTGGAGCAACACAGCATGTGGAGCGACATAGCCATTCTGGCGAGGTACCTCTTGATGCTGTCCTTCAACAATTGCCTGGACGTGGGCAGACACCTGCCGTACGTCTTTCACACGGTCACGTTCCTTGTGTGTTCCGGCAGCCTGACCATGCGGTCGTGCATTCACGGCTTGGTGATCAACACCATTCACTCCTTGTGTACGTGCAGCTCGCCTTCCTTCCGCGAGGACACGTATCGAATATTGCACATGAGCCTCGACGAGTTCTCATTGCCCAAGTACCACGTTCTGTTCGGCATCAGCAAGGTGAAGTCCGCCGCCGATACGGCGTTCTATAAACATCCGGGGTCCAGCAAGCAGGATCTCTGCAAGGAAATCTGCAAGCCACCAAACGAGAAAGGCCTCAACAATGACAAAAACCAGTCCGTCACGCAAGACAGGGAAGTACTTTCCTTGACCAGCTTGGAAGTCATAACCGACGCTCTTCTGGAGATCATGGAGGCTTGCATGCGCGACATTCCGAGGTGTGACTGGCTGAAGACGTGGACGGCATTGACGAGAAGTTTCGCCTTCTGCTACAATCCGGCTCTACAGCCGAGAGCGCTCATCGTTTTCGGCTGTATCAGCAAAAACGTAACGGATCAGGATATAAAGCAGTTACTGAGAATACTGGTGAAGGCGCTGGAAAGTTTTAATGACATTACTCTGTTGGAGGCGATCGTGATGTGCTTGACGCGACTGCAGCCTCTTCTGAGGCCGGTAAGCTTCATTTTTTCCTCCTTCTTGAATGTCATAAGTGTAATAGTAATTAATAATATAATATTTATGGTTAAATAAGCATGATGTATCTATAATAATAGTGTAAGAAGTAGTTTTGTCTCTGTTAGATGCTGCTAATGTTGTCGCTTCACTGTTTCTCTTTAAGGAGTCGCCGATACATAGATATTTATTTTGGGTCGCCACGTCTGTTCTCGAGTTAGACCAGCCGTCGTTGTACGCAGCCGGCCTAGGGCTTCTCGAGCAAAACTTGCACACGCTGGACTTTCAGGGTACTTTCGACACTAAGGTCTGCGTATTTCCATCTCTACGCTCTAGTCTCAGTTAAATTCTCTGGACACCCGTACTCATGTGAGACGACTCGCTGTTCTTTTTAGACGTTGGAGCACGTGATGATGTCGACGCGCGAGCCTCTCGAATGGCATTTCAAACAATTGGATCACTCCATAGGCTTGTCCTTTAAGTCGAACTTCCACTTCGCACTAGTCGGTCATCTGCTGAAAGGCTACAGGCACCCCACCACGGTTACCAGAACATCCAGAGTATTGACCATGTTGTTAGCGATTGTGGCTAAACCTTCGAAAAGGGACAAATTCGAAGTGACGCCCGTCAGCGTCCCGTACTTGGCCGGTATATTTGTTAACCTAAAGCACAGGAGACTGTCGATATTTCTCAGAAGACAGAAGATCATAACTTGATCTTATGTTTAAGTTTGTTTTAAATACAGGATGTCCGGGACCTTTTGGAAAAATTCTGAAGACTAATCAGGTCAAACTAACAAGAACTAACTAAGAAGAAAAGTTATGTACCACTTTGCAAAAGTCGCAATAGGTATTAAGTTATTAATGATTGAAAATCGTACACCACATCTAGAGGCTCTTTTAATTGATAACTTGAAAATGTGCAAAATGGTACTTAACTTTTCTCCTCAGTTTGATCTGATTAATCTTCACAATTTTTCGTTTCCAAAAGATCCCGGACACCCTGTATAAATATATGATCTTACGGTTTATTATACTTATTGATTTATTATATTATACTTCTTATTTTCTACTCCTCTACTTTTTCTACTATTATTTTTTATATTATTTATTATATTACCTTATACTTTTTATCATGGTATTATTGATTTTATTATATGACTATTTTGCTCTTTCTATCTTTAGATGCCAAGATTAGACCTGATCAGTCCGCGGATCGTCATGTTGTATATTTTGTGATTTATCAGATGATTCCCAATAAACAGTAACTAACATTAACATTACATCAATATATTTCTTACTCAGAAAACAATGAAAATATAATATCACACATTGTATAGCAGACTGCAACAAATAATATGGCGTGTTGCGGGTTGGTCAAGCCTGGCTGAGTACTTGAAATAATCTCGGATATAAGATAGGACTGTGAATTTTGTTCCGAAAATGTCAGACTTTTAAAATTCAAGCGAATTTCATTCTGCGCAGCATTAGTGTCCGTGTCGGAGGAAGTTCGCACCAGGTGCCACATTCGGCACTCGTTCACATCCGACAATCGTTCGCACGACTCTTCGGGTAGCGCAGAGATTCTAGACAGTTTACGCAGTACAGTGAGTATCTCTTTGATTCGTTATGTTTGCAATGCGGTGCACGTGAGATTTTCATGATGAAATTATCGCTCATTTTCCAGGATATCAATGGTGCGCCTAATCTTACGAGTAGAAGGCAGAAGACTTGGGACTTGTTGGACCAATCGGCGCTCACCCAAGCGAGAAAGCAAAAACAACATTCTACACAGGTATACGCTGTACAGTAATGTATATTTTCATAAAAATAATATATTTTATCAATACAATTTAACATTTTACTGGTACACATTCATGTATGTTTTATTGTAGATTGTTTATTAGATTAGCTTAAGGGAGACTTGTCATTTTTCTGTTAAATTTCATAAAGGAAATCTCGATCCTAAAAGGAAGGTACCAAGACCTCGTTGAACGTCTGCAAAAACATCGAATCGATGTTGTTTATTTTATCAGTAAAACTGATAAATCTCTGTATCATCTCTGTTAAATTATTTATATAAATATGTTTATAAATTGCTACTTCATTTGACAAACACGACAAACCTTCCACGACAACCCTTCTAACAATTATTACGTAAATATACGTAAATTTACATTATATTTACATAATAACGATTAATATGTCAATATTATAATTATATTAATATTATAATATATTTTATATATGCGTGTGTGGAGCTCATGAGTCAATTTATATTTATAGTATATAGCGCACACTAATTAATTCAGTAATTAACTCGGTCACCGACGACATCGTTGCTAACAAGACCTGCTGGCTTTCATTTCAGCGATCCAGGAGTATGCCGAGCACGAAGAACGCCACGTCGATGGACGATGCGGAATCGCAGGTCAGGTCGTTGTCCAACAGCTCGATCGCATAATTGCTGTTAATCGCAAGGACTAACATCTTTGCACCGTTATATGTTACATATAGACTCGTAACAGTAACGGAGTGAGCATGAAGAGCAACGAAAACAACGTCCTGCTCGATCCGGAAGTGCTGACTGACCTCGCGACGCAGACTCTGGTGCTGACTGTGCTGGCCACTTTGGTGAAGTATTCCACCGACGAGGACGAGGCGCGGATCCTCTACGAGTATCTGGCGGAAGCGACGATAGTCTTCCGTAAGGTTTTCCCAGTCGTGTAAGTTCTCGCCCGAAATGAATCGAGTGCATAGATCCAGTCCGTTCGTTTGTCACCTGCTCGATCCGCTTCTTTCGCAGACACAACTTGCTCGATGCCAAGATCAATAGCGTGCTGTCGTCCTGCCACGACCAGGCGATACTGAACGCGGTTCAAGTCATCATACAGAACATGATGGCCTGCGAGGACACGTGCCAGCAGCAACTGCACTATCTACAGAGCTGTGGCTTCCGCGGTCTCTGGAGGTTCGCGGGACCATACACAAACGTAAATTTTGGAATTAGTAGCAGTACAATTGTTTCTCTCGCGACTTCACTGTTAGGCCTGTAAATCATATTTGGAGCTTCACCAGTGAGCGGTGAAAAATAGATCAGTATCATGATGACTGTTGATCTCTCGTGTGACATCTCTTGAACGCTTCGAAGATATTTCAGGATAATATAAATATTTTAGAAAAATCGAAGCAGTATATTGGTACAACGTTAAACATTAGGAAACGTGGTAACTTTTCGCACTCTAGGTCGATTTCTCGAAACTTCCAGGCATAACATTTAGATAACGAAGTGTCGAAGCGCGAATATGCGAACGTTTGAATATTCGGAACCTCGAGAACTTGCTGCGAGCGCATACAGTCGAATAAATACGACATTACTTCCATTGAGAAAAAGCTTCGATATTTCGAATTTTTGAATAGAATTTGGAGAATCAAAGCTTTGCAGTCGAAACTTCAACTTTAGACATCGAATTATGCCAAGTCCTTGAAGCTCCGGATATGTCAGACTATCTTTCATTGTTAATGGAATCAATATCTTAGGGCCGGTTGTTCCAACTTCTTGGTAAGTTGATTGATAGTTAAGTCATGTGTTTATCTTCCTTTTTCCTTTAATTTAAACGAAAACAGACATACGATTTAACTATCAGTTAACTTACCAAAGAGTCGGAACAACCTGCACTTAGACTTGAGGAAGTGCAGTTCCTCGCTCTTCTCGACATCACCGGCATATCTTTACAGTCCAATTGCACGCCCGAAAGCTCCGAATTGTTCGTGAACTGCCTGGAAGCGATGGTAGAGACGTGTCTACCGACGGAAGAGTGCGACGGCCCGAATAGCAACGATCTGGCTGCCGGAAGAGGTAGACGATCCTGCAGCTATCAACTAGACGCGAAAATAAAGCAGCCTACTGTACTCGGGTGTATCAGGAGATCTTCGCACTTGCCTTCAGAAGAGACCGGCGTTGCTTTGTTCAACCAACAGTAAGCTTGTCCTCTTTCCTAGTTTTCAATCAGAAAGATTACGACCTTTTTCAACGAATCTAGCAAACGTTCCTGCTTAATACTGAAGTTCGTGAAATTGAAGAGAATTAATTCTGCAAACTTAATCATAGATTTAATAATTCATTTCATTCGTGTACAAAGCCTCTTCTCGTGTTACGTCCTGCAGACTCAATTAACAAAAATTCTCTTTTTCTCTCGCGAGCTCCTAAAATCTACACGTCTTCGTTGAAGGTTTATATCTGGGTAGTGTTCGCCAAGCGTGTCCGTCGGCCTAGCTATAAAATTTGAAACTCTGCGCTAACAAACCTTCAGTAAAACAAAGCAACTCAAAGCATTCCTGCTCTAAAACTTGAAACTTACATCTTCCCAATCCAAAACCATATGTGCCCTACCAGTCAACCAACAAAGCCTACTTCACTGATGGTCATAAAATCTTATCTCCCTTGATTTACGGCATTCTGACTTCTCCAGCCGGCCACTTGTATACATCACTCTCTCTCACAAGAATAATCAATTCCGCCAATCAAAACCAATCCACCCAAACTAAGAGACATCCACGCTCCACCCCTTAGCCCTTCTATATTCATGTCTCCCACGAGATCTTTTAACCTCACCCTTAATTTCTAATGGCTAAGACTTTTCCCCACTATGGTCAACCAGGACCAATAATAAAAATTATTAACTAAATCTTTAACTTCATTAGGCTCTCCTTAGGGCTTCACCTCTTCCTCAAAGGCCATCTCTCTACCCATCCTGATAGCTTCTGCCTCCGATCATCGGTATAAAATCGTGGCAATCCGCCTCCGCGGACACAAAAAGGTTAGACTCGTACTCAGACTCGTACTCAGACTCTTACTCAGACTCGTATTCGGACTCAGACTCGTACTCGGTTTTCTTCCAAGTTTTGTTTCGGCAACACACACACTCTTACGTTCCCATTTTTTTTGCTGGGGACAAAAATTATATTCGGTACCTGTGCTATTGTGCCATAATTGGACAATCGGAAGGGAGTGGGCGAGCACAACCCATTCCAACCTATCGAGCAGGAGCCACCAATCGACAGTTCTATCTTGTTCACTTCTCGCATAACAGGAATCAGCAGTAAGTTTCATTTTCTTTACTTCTACCTTTCCTACCACCACTTTATTAATTCCCCTTATTATTGAAATCCGGTTTTAGTGGGTCATAGTTACAATATCGGGATAAACCTCGATCGCGCTTTCCAAATGCTCGAGTCGGTTTTTGACACCAGCGATCCCGACCAACTAGCGTCTCAGGTCCATAATCCGAGCCATAGTCAACATAGCGCTAGGAACCGATTATTACCCAGATCCTACACTCCTACCCCCTTACCTTCTCCCTCATTTTCCCCCTGGTACTCCTTCCTCTTCTCCTACACGCGCTTCCACTCCTACCCTTCTTTTTTTTGGTCACGCAGGGGAAATCCTCATGGATACCCCCGACCCTTGGGGGGGGGGGTTAGGGGTTATGTCGGACTCTTACCGACTAAAATCCCTGCGGGATGTCTACCTGTCGGACCGTGAGGAGGGGAGTCAGGGGAACTGCTCCCGCATTCCCTCCCCAACCCGCATACCCTCCCCAACACTCCTTCTACCCCTTCAATATCATATTCTCCCGTATCTTTTTTCGAATTATCCACTCCCTTAAATTCTCCTGACCGCTCTCGTTCCCTCTCACCCGACTAACTTTCTATTCATATTCCTTCCCTTTTCCATTCCTTCTTCTTTTATTTCACACACACACACACACACCATCATCCGCGTCAATTGTAATATTCTAAACCGCGCCGTAATATCATTTTATTGCTATATTCTAAACCGCGTCGTAATATTACTTTTATTGTTATATTCTAAACTCGCGTCGTAATATTATTTTTATTGTTATATTCTAAACCGCGTCGCAATATCATTTGTGTTGTTATCTTTATTTTAATAAATCTGTTAATAGTCTATGTCCAAGCGATTAATTTCAAAATCATACTACCTTCCAACCTCAGAGTTGCCTCATGGTCCTATCCCCGGTAAAGGGCCTCGCGTCCTTGACCGAAAAACGGACCGCTCGTCGTATGTCAGTGACCGAGTAAAGGGACCCACCGGGTTCCTGACCCGCTTCCTGGCACGCGTGTACGAGGTTCGCCTTTCCTGCGAACGAAAAGGTTGCGCTCCTCCTCTGGGACGTAACATTCGTGTTGTGATATAAAAAGAAATTCTTCAAGTTGAATTATATATTATGTATCAGATCGTAAAAATTTTATAAAGAGATTTAAATAATTAAAGAATTGAATTATTGAATTGAGGAAGGATGTACTTTTTCTACATCTAGCGCTTGCTACTCACATATAATGTTCCACAATCGTCACGTATGTGTATCGAGCGAATTATGTGTTTCAGCAGTCATGCAACAGAGAAGAATAAAAACTATTTCGCGGTGGAGTTGGACCAGATCGAGGACACGAGTAGTGGCCGAAAATGCAGCTACGGCGACTCGCAAACTTAGCAATTACATCACACCAGCAAGCACTGCTTACAGTGCAATAAACGCGCGCGTAAGGGACAGACCAGTCGAAAGTTGCAGCGACAGATGAGATGCGTGAATCTAAACGATTAAACGGTGAGTATAAGGGGTTCTTCTGGCGATCTTTCTGCCTTCTTCTCACTTCTACCCACTCGATAAACGATAATTCTTTGTGATCGTATATAAATTTTGTCTCTATATTGCCATGTGCAAACATACGCAATTATATATGTCTACATTGAAAAAATACTGTTATATCAACGCAATTAAAGTAACTGCTTATGTTTATATGGCAATTCGTGATGTGAAATTGAATAAAATAAAAAATTGAAAGTTTTTTTTCCGTAAGATTATACACGGCTATATATAGACAAAATTTTTATATGAATCATATATTGGACGATAATAAAAGTTTTTGGATTTTGTGATAGAAAAATGAACAAAAAAAAAACTGGACGAAAATGCCCTCTTCTATTTTGCGAAAAAATACATAACGTTCAGAGTTATTAATTGACGAACATTGGTATGTAATCAAGCGCAATAATTCGCAAATATTCTTTATTTTTATCCTTTGATTCTTCTTTATTCTTTAATTGCAGTATTTTGCGTGATTTTTTTTTTTGCAAAATAGAGGACGTTTTTCTTTAGTTTAATCTACACGAACACAAAAACTTTATATGTTATCTTGTATACATGATTTTATACAGGGTGAGAGACACTTAAAACAGGTTACCTGAATAAATTCAAAAATATGCAAGATGGAAAAAATATTGAATACAGAAGTTGTAGGATTTTTAAATGACACATCACATAGTAATACTAGTATGACCTTGAACAGTGTCATCAAGGTTTGTAGAAGGTAACTTTGAAATTTTTTAATGGAAACCCCCATTTTTTATTATATCACTTTTTCTACTTATTAATTTGAACAACTTTTGTCTGAAATATTTTTTGATTTGTCTAATATTTTTCTAGATATTTAAAGAAAACTTTTTCAATATTTGACTTGTAATATCTCGGTAACTATTTGTCGGAAGAGAAAGTAGCAGGAGGGGGTTACTAGACTTTTTTACTCTATTTGGTTTCAACAATACGCTGTTACAATAGTGCCCTAACTTTTGTTAACTCGACGATTTTGAAATTTTTAAAAGGTCAACAAGTTCCGTATTTAACATTTTTCTCTGTCTTACATATTTTCAAAGTTATTCGGGTGGTTCTGTTTTAGGTGTCTCACCCTGTATATAATCTTTTTAATCGGCGCCAAGTAAATATGCACACCTACTTCAGTCAAAGCGCCGACAATGTAACTTGGCGCATCTACAAAGAACAGATCTGTACTTAACGAGGCATTTCGCAGCTTCTCGCCTACGAAGCAAATTCAGCTGCTCATTCATTTCTTTCTTTCGAACAGCAGGGGCTCGTTAACCTCGTGTTACCGCTGCCGCATGTCTAGCCGGTCTTGCACAATGCCGTCCACGTCACGATGACAAGCCCTCAGAAATGGAAATTAGCGAAGGCCGCCCTTTTGTAGCGTATTATTTTTTCCTTCGGTTCCCATCGGCGACACATGCATTGGCGATTTTGCTTGTGATGTACCTCACGCATATATGCATAAGTATATGTATTGTTACAACGCGAATCTCAAGTGTATGTTATCGCACGTGCGTCGTGTTGGCGTTTTCACAACGAGCTCGAGGAGATTACGTTGCCACGGAGATGTCCTCGCCATGCGATTCTGAGGCAAGGATATTCCTCGAGGACACGCTTCGTTATGATTTCACGACCGCTGTGGAATTGCGAGAACCGGCTTGACCGGAGCAGATGTATATCGACGATATTAATTCCCCTGGATGATCACGTGCAGTTGGCTGCGCTGACTGGCGCTGGTTTCGTCAGCATCGCAATGCGAGAAGACTGCGAGCGCAGCAGCACGAGAGACCAGTGTCGGACGTTGGTCGATTGAAATGCCGACTGATACGATCGGAATGATTATAATGATTACTCGTGTACCGCTGATTAGCCGATCACTTCAGCCCGAATATTAGTTCAACCCAGACCCTGATCGACCAACGCTGCCGACACTGCGAGAGACGCGAGTATGCCTGTCTCTCCACGAAGCGCAGGGCTCAGGCTGTGACGGTGCGTATATATGTATACGCGAGCCGTCCGATTAACGAGGTCCCGAATCATCATATCTCTAATAACAACTGCGACATACGAGAAATTCGCGCAGAAGACTCTACCGGCCCCTCGACGGGAAACCGGCGACGCCGCCTCTCGCGCGCCCTTCCGCGCGGGCGTCTGCAAACATGATCTGCTGGACCAGTGGGCGCTTCTCGTCTCGGGGTGGCCGAAGCCACAGGACTAATTATCTCTAGAGCCACGTCTAGCAAAACACCAATATGTCAAATATAATTTAAAGTACAAAGCAAGACCAAACGTTACTCTTCCGTACTGTATAACGAGGTATTTTAGGGTGGTATCCATAGTCGAGTCTCAAGTCAGCACTTAAGACGATCTTGGTTGAGTCGGTCTTATTCAATCAAGACCGTCTCAAGATCAGTATGTTTCATAGTCGTGAAATAAGACGATCTTCGCGAAGAATATGTTGCTCAAGTAAGACTTATTTGATTTAAGGTTGACTTGGCGAAGACAGACTTAAGACTGTGCTTATTCTCGAATCGGCTGTTTCCGTAATATTTCCGTTAGGTCCTTCAATCAAAACACAGGATACAAGGTGCAGTATTACTATTAAGAAGTACCATCTTATGTTACATTAGCAATGCCTGTTCTTATGTATAATCTATTTCTATAAAGGGAGATCATTTACAAGAAGTGAATCAACCAGAATTAAGTCATGTAAGAGAAATATGATATTTAACTAAAAATACATGAGACCCAATTAAAAATTATAGAATATGAATTAAATAAGAAAGAAGAAAAATCATAAAATTTAATGTTTCATTTTATCAATGATTTTCTTTGTTTATTAAGTTATTAAATTATTTATTAAGTTATTAAGAAATATTGTTTTAGTCCACTAATCAGATCTTTATAAGTTATTAATAAGAGGTTATATTTTCTTAAAGATTATTACATGATTACAATAAGGAAACATTATTTTATTAAAGAGAGAAGATGAAAGAGTTACATAAAATGTTTTGTTCGCTGTTTAATTAAAGATGTTCTATTCGGTAAATATATATTTGGATAAATAAAACATTACCATTTATACCAACATTCCATACATAAGCAAAATGCTAGCAGAATGTGCGCAGATTGACGCCAATTTCGATCAGATCCCCACATCAAAACCATAGCCATCTGTGTCCTCATTAGGCTCATGTTTTGTCGACAGGACCTGCGTGACAGGCCGTGCGAGCAGATTGTCGGCAGAAACCGCGCAGGTCCTGCTGCCAAACTACGCGCAGAGTCTGCGCGCAGAGTTTGCTCGGTTTCTGCCGTCAATCTGCCGTCAAGTTGTTGCAAGTCTTGCGCGGTTTTTGCTGCAAATCTGTCGTCAAGTATCCGACAGCAGGATCTGGCGCATATTTGACCGCAGATTGGTAGCATAATTTGATATAACAGATTCTGCGTTAAATTTGTTGCCCATTTGCCATCAAACTATGATAGCAGGCTTTGTTCGAAATCTATTCGCATAGGTTTGGCTATCTGGTTTGGCTATTTTATTCTTGTTATTTATTGATTATCTAAAAATACCTTATATATATATATATATATATCATATAATATATTATCTAAATAATCTCTCAATGAGAGAGCTTCTCGTACAATAAATTATTCTCCGGGTTTCCAGTGAGTTAGGCTATTTTCAGTGATATATTTATCGTAGCATTATCAGTTCTTTCGACAAACATGGACATTTCCGCTTCCAAATACCAAATGCCTTTTTCTACCATTCTTCTGGTTCTCCTGTGAATTTCATTGTACGTAACTGTAAGAAAAACTTCGATGTTTAGCAATAACAATTTATGTATCGTTATAATTATAATTCGAACTTTATTTGCTCATCAGTCACAGGAATATTTATCGATGTGAGTAAGGATGGTAATGCTGGATAGCCAGAATCTGCAACTAGTATACCCTCCAACTCTTGTTGTCTATATCATATATAAATGCGTAAATTCTGGAAAATTCTGGAGTCAGACTTGACTTCCTGGTCACTCAAGAATATATCTAGGAATTCTGTCCTTGATCCAACAACCTGAAAATATATATTATATTAAACCACCATTTGTTACCAGTTTAATATATCAAATTATTTAATTAAAATAATTTATAAATGTGTTGTGTATGCTTCAATATACTTTTAATATGTAATATATGTTTGAACAAGAATAACTATATAATTTATATAAATGTACATAAATGTTTGTAGCTATTATTCTTAGAGCTAGTATATTATAAAAAATTAAATGTATTTAAAAATTAATACTCGAACATTTAAAGAGAAATATCCTTTTCTATTTCTACATATTTCTTCGATAATTTGTAGTTTTGTATGTACTGACGCATAAGAGTATAATCAATTGCTCCATCAATATTAGAAAGACCTATATAGCTCCAGGAGTAAGTTGCTTAAATAAATACCTGTTTTCACATTTTGCTTCATTAGAAATGGGAAATCTGATATATTGATTAATATTGCTCGCTAATAAAATGGACAAATGATAAATTGTTTTTGAAATAGCTGATCTTGAAATGTGAAATGTGTGCAATATCTCCTACGACAAGCTGTAAATTAAAGAATATTTTTCCTATATATACTGATTGTACAATATATATAGGAGAAATAAAAAGATAAAACTGTGTGCGAGTATGTGTGTGTGTGCAGTATAAATTAATCATCGGTGTTACCAGTAAGGAATAGGAAACGCTGAGAATCGTGTTAAAATACTATCTTAATATGTATATCGTGGAAAGAATACTCGTCTCTTTCGTGTTATTTATCTGAGCGAACTTCTCCTCGGGATTACGAGAGGGGGAGGGGGAGGAGTGAGGATGCGACGTATCCTATATATAAACTGCGAGATATCGCGCAAGACTTGTATAAACGCGAAGACGTGAGAACTTCCTCGTGTATGCGACTCCGTAGGACAGGACTTAGCAAGTCCTCACCAGGAGCGACCGTTCCGAGTTTCGCGAGACGCGTCTGTACATATAATGCGTTGTAAAAATGTTGCGCAATCGCAACGATTGCGCGAACGCGTGGATCTTGGCCGCCTGTGCGCGTTCGAGCGCAGCGCAAAACAAACGGCGCATTGTTGCAGCGAGAGATCGATTGACCCGATGATCGATACCGGCCAAGTTGCGCACAAAGGCTTCTTCCGGACTTGTTTTTTTGTTTTTGTTGCACTCAAGGAAACTTTGAGGTCTCCCTGTGCATGATAATCTCATATTTCCCATACAGCGCAGAAAGTTGCAGCAACATTGCTGCAGCGTCGTCGCAATATTGCAAGATTATTGCAACGTTGCAGCAATGTTGTTGTAACTTTCTGTGCTGTATGGATTGTGTCTCAGGGCCAAACACAGCTGCATAGAATAGCATAAGGCAGCCTCGACCACGTAAGACGAAATTATATTAATTTAAAAAGTGTAACGTAACTCTTCCCTGCACCGAAAAAATTTTATTCTACATTATAGAAAAGTAACTAAAGTATAGAATATTTGCCACTAAAATACGCGCCAAGTATATGTTATAAAAAAGAGAGGATTTCCCTCTAATATAAGTATAAGAAAATATTCTAATAAGAGTTAGAATATCCCTCTAATACGGATAAATAGTAGTAGCCTCACAAAAACGTACGTCGAATCCACGTGGAATGCATGTTGTATTCACGTGGCGACACACGCTCGGCTGTTGGATAGACTGTCGACGAGGTTTGAGTGTGCATCAGTACTTCTCAGTCAGAAACGTCATCGTGTCGAAACAACATCGACATCGTTTCAACGTTGTTTCGCTATTATCTTGACGAATCATTTCAATCTAAGTTACGTAATACTCATACACTTTTTCAATAATTCGTACTTACTTTCAAAACGGCAGACGAATTCCGATAAATTATGTTCAAGCAGCCACTTTCTCACTTCTTCCATGTTTCAGCACTACATCACTAGATTAGACTTCCTTCGAAACACGTTCAGGACACGATACGGCAACGTAATAAAAGCTGCGTAGACTATAGTTTACGCATACGCGAGCGCGAGTGTCGTTCGTCAACCAACTGACGACGAAATATATATATATATATATTTTAGAATATTTTCTTTATTTTAGATGTTATTCTAAATAAAAGACTTTTAGAGGGGAATATTCTGAACTTTTTACAATATTCGATTAGAAGAAAGCTTTAGAGGGAATTTTTCTAAAATTAAGAATACGATTTTTTCGGTGTGGATACTCGCTGGTCGAGATGCGTATTTATGTGTTATGCGTCTGCGACTATGTCATTTTCTGTGCAAAAATCGCTGCAATATAGGTGTTCGTTCGGAAGTATTTCTTACAGTGTGTGTCTTTGCACATGTTCAGTTCGATTGCGAGGCGGTCATAGTTAGCAACAAACTCGATCTTCAACCTGTTTCGAGGCGGTTTGTTCGATACTGACCAATCCCAGATAGTGCAATGTCTTCTGAAAATTTTAAGGACATCTAGAACGGACATTGCGGGTATTCAGATTTTATCCCGGGATATAGCTTGGATAGCTAGTCTTTAAGACGGGTATCCAGTAGGATGTCCTGCGCTGTGCTAAGGACTTTTATAGAATATGTCGTGGACTTTTTTTTCTTAAGTCTAACGGAAAAGGAAAAAAACATAGCGTATTGAATTTGCCGACTCCGAAATGTATCGAGTTATGTTTTTTTCTGTTTAAGTTATAAATATAAAGGAAAAAACGTTTGACTCGAGATTCCCTAAATCGAAATTGGCACTCTGAATACATTAATAGTTCAATTTTATTTTTGGAAAATGTTTTTGAATCTGTTTGAATTTTAATCTCTTAGAATCCTAAAATTTTTTGGCTCTGAAAAAATGGGGTTGTTGATATACTTAATTTGCCAAGTCCGATGTAAGATCGAGTCGAATGCTTTCTTTTCCTCATATTTATAATTATTTCTAAATATATATCTATAGTTATTAAATACATATTATTAAATATATATAATTATAAATATATATTTATTAATGAAGTCAAATGTACATACAAAATTCTCACTTAAAATATTTACAATGACGCAACTAAATATTCTGAAAATATCCCGGGACATTTTGGTCATATCCAGGATCGTCCTGAGGGCGTCTTGTGCTGTCTGGGATGCCTCATAAACTCGACGCAGAGGCCAGTAGTAGTTCGTTAAGATTTTTTACTTATTTATTTATTTATTCAAGACGTAATTTGGAATCGTCGAGCGCGTTGCCAAAGGCCTAAAGTCGTCCCCGACCCGCGAAGAACAGTTAAATACGTTTCAAGTATGGCACCATACTTGAAACGTATTTAATTATTTTTTGCGGAAAGCTGCGTTAATCGAGGCGACTGATTGAGCGACTGATTGAGTATTATTAATTAACGTATCAACGGAGATACAGGCTCTAACATACCGCTTCATATGTACACATCGTATTCGGATATTGTCATTAGGTACGCTTTCCTCTTCAGACTTCGTGCTTTCGCAATGACTTCGTGTTCGTAGAGCGTTTTGTCGCCACGTTATGTGTGCGTGTGTGTATTATTGTTTGTAAATATTAGATAATTAATGTGCAAAGGTCAGTGGATTCTTGTCACATGTCGGACCGGCGAGTAATCGCTTCTCTTCTACTCCTGCATAGCTTTCGCGGCGATTCTTTCCTCTCGCTTGTACTTGCGATTAAATGGACTGGCAGCAGCGTAAGTAGTTACT